AATTCCGGAAATGCTTGCTACTTCTCAGTCCAAAATATTTTCTTCCTGTCTGATTTGTAGGAACCTAAAAATTAAAGTGTACAAAACAAAAATCTTGCCTGCTGTCTTGTATGGGTGCGAAACATGGTCTCTCACTGAGAGGGAGGAACGTAGATTGCAGGTGTTTGAGAATCGGGTGTTGAGGAGGACATTTGGGCCTAGGAGAGAAGACAATTTGGTATGGGGAAAACTGCATAATGACGAGCTTAAAAATCTGTACTCCTCCCCCAGTATTGTCAGGGTGATTAAGTCGAGAAGAGTGAGATGGGCTGGGCATGTAGCGCGCATGGATGGGACAAGAGGTGTGCATCGGGAAGCCTGAGGGGAAGAGACCACTGGGGAGACCTAGACGTAGATGGGAGGATAATCTCAGGCGGGATCTATGGGAGATAGGAGTTGAAGGAGACTGGATTTTGTTGGCCCAGGACAGGGTCCGGTGGAGGGCTTTGGTTAATTCGGTGATGAACCTTCGGGTTCCGTAAGCCATCTGGTTAGTTAGTTAGTTAGTTCATCCGAAGAACTCCCAGGCCCCATCCGGTCTGTAGTCCGTGGTTTTCTCGCCTATGGTCCAGCTCCCAGAGGTCTGCGTGTCTTTATGGTGTGGTGGTAATTAACTGTCAGAAGCGTACGAAATTCATTTTGCGAGCTTCTAGGGTTATTTATTGCCGAGGTCAACGATGAGTAGGAGCTACACCTCCTCTCCCCCCCAAGCGCCTACATGGCGTGTAGTGGACAGCTTTTATTTATTTGTTTACATTTCTTTTCTACGGTGTGTTTCGTTGCAAATGTGGCCGGAGCGTGAGGCTGTCGTGTAGTAACGATGATAATGGGCCTTCAATTTCTGGTGGTCTGCCAAAGCGATTATTCAGTTCTTGCGCGATCTGAGTGGTCGGTGTCTTTCACGGCACCCGGAAGTTCTTGTAAACGAAATGTTGCTTAAGGACAAACAGAAGAGGGCGAAGCACCCGAACATCACCCCCCTTCGCCGTGCCTTCTTTGTCCTTCGATCGCCCTGACAACTCTCAGGAGTGCCAACGTAATCCTAATAAACGCCAACGCTGATGCTGTCTTCTGGGTTGTAGCGCCCTGATGATGGAGGCGGCAAGGACCTCTGGAACTTCTGCCAGACTACACGGAGCTACAACCCGCAAGACAGCGATCTTCGAACTCACCGCCGTGAAAACCTCAAATCTATTAAATCTTTCGAGTCTATTAATAATTAATTATTCATCTCAGTTGTCTCTTTGGTTCCGTAAACCCCGTTCTTTCCCCTTAAGGCCTAAACTTCGCGTTTCGCTGTTGTGTTGCAAGTTTGATGCCGGACTACAGAGGAGAGAGAGTTTTGGGGCAGCTTGTCCTCCAGTACGACGCGCCCCGCTGTTCCTTTGTTCCGGAGCAATTTTCGGTTTAACTGGAGCGGGTCCCGCCGCTGCATGGGGCGACCTCGTCCATTTCCGAGGCAAACAAACGGAGATGGTTGATGAGGGCCCTTCATCTCTCGTTCGAGGGAGGGCGTAGAATTTTGTTCGCTGAACTCAGATGAAGGTCCGAGTACGAAGGGCAGCGAGATGTTGAGATGGATTTAAGCGAAGTGGATTCTGCAGATGCGAGATGCTTCAGGGCGTGGTCTGATGACGGCGTTTGTGAAAACCGCCCTCAGAACAACTCCCAGATGACCATAAAAATTTTGCAAAACGCCTGTTCTCGGAATAAAGTATTAAAGTTTTCGTGGGACCTCTTTTCAGTGCGTCTGTCGGAACAAGATGGTCGCTGATAACCAGAGTGTTCCATTTGTTTTAAAAATAATTTTTTGCAGATTTCAACAAAATGCGCTAATCCTCCCTCGCGTGTGCCTCGATTCAGATCCCGGAATTGCAAGGAAAAGTTCTCGCGGACTCTGGGTTCGAACTTCGCCGAGCACAGAAACGCGGGGCGACGCTTGCGTTAGAGAGGATCTTCTCTGCGGAGCGCCAGGTGGCAGCAGCGGCTTATTATAGCAGTGACATGGTCGGTTATTATTAGCACTTTGCGAGGGGGAGATGCCCCGAGGCGGCTCCTGAAGTCGGAATCCAGAGCAGAAAAACAGGAGGACAGAATCCATTAGAGTCGTTTTTCGCTTTTAAACTGTGGCAATCTTTGCCCTTTTCCTGTCTACTTCTGGGACAATTGCATGAAAATACCTGGACGTAGGACACGGCTAATTTTATGTTTCCCTTCCATTGCTCATCGCATAATCACCTTCTCGTCTCACTCGACGTGCGATAACCTCATAATTCGTGTCGCGCTGTCCAGTTCTTGTGCGTTCTTTGCACGAAATGCGTAGCGAGAACGCGTTATCGGTTGCTCGTGTCCGTCCAGTCGATTCAACTCGAGAACCACCCGACGGATTTCGATGAAATTTGATGTGGAGGCTGTGCCACTCTGCAGGACCTCAGAATCGCACTTTGAATGTAATACGAGCGGTGATAAAAATTGCAGAGAGGTAGACATTGTGCTGCGATCTGGCGGCCAAAATGGTAACTGTCCACTACGGGACACACTTCGCGATCTTGTTATTAATTAATAATTATCGAACTCACAGACTCTTGAATCCTCCTTCGCCATTGCAAGGTCTAAACTATTTTCTTTGGACAATCGCAATATTCTCTGTTAATTTTCTTCTCCTGTTGAGTTTTTATCGGGTAATGGCATCGAAGTGTATCGTTTTATTCAAAATTAAGCAATTTATAATCTGAGGCCTTTGTTTCCTTCTAGAAATAAACAACACTTTTAACCTAAAAGGTCGTAATAATGTGCGAGATGACCTCTGCACTTAGGTTAGGTTACGCAAAACAGTGCCAAAGACCCCTGGAAATTCCCCACTCAGTCACTTCGACGCCGAGAAAGGCACATAGATCTTTATGTAAAGTTCCCGTCATTGTCTGATTGTAACTAAAATTTAAATAACTCATCTCGACAAAGTTCGGCAATATATAATACAAAGCTAATAAGAGCACTTTTGGGGAAGAGACAGGGACTGTGTACGGCCATAATTGTTTCCTTACACACATTTCTTGCATGCCCAGGTAAAGCCAAAATATTTACATAGTCAATTTCTTGCATGAAATTCGCCCTTCAAAGGGCTAGAACTACCCTAATAAGCCTACATCACCCGGTCATGACTTATCACACCTTAGTAATAGTGTCCAGCTCTGGCTGCCTTTAATCTTTTGAGAAATCTTTCTCGGTCGTAACAGGCATATTCGACTGGGTCGGCACTTAAGACGGTTCAAACATGACAGGACACCGGAGTCCTTGATCTACAATCGCCACGCCACGGCCGTCATAAAGACATGAAGCCCCTTTTGTTCACGTTTCGCAGGAAGTTGGCTGTTGTTATATTTCAAATTTGAGGCGGCACAAAAACGAGAATCCTGTCAGCCTGTCGTAGTAGCTCAGACTACGTAGTGAATCTGAAAGGAAGCGGTCGTGGCCTAATCTAAGCCACTTCCTTAATTTGCATGGAGGGGCTGAGGAAAACCACGATAAACCCAAGCAGGATAGCAGATCTCCGGGCCGAGATCTGAACCCGGGACCTCCCGAATACGAAATGGGAGTAGACCGATTTTAACAGCGAATTTAGTGTATCTGAAGATGTTTTTAAAACTGACAAATATCAAATTGAATTAAAATGCTCTCAGCGGTTCGAGAATTCTCGACAGACGGACAGACGAAACGAAGCTATAATGCGCCTTAAAGTATTTCGGTAAGGGCGTAGACATTTTAAGCCAGTCTGTTCCAGGCGGCTTCCAGAATAACTTGGAATGGAAACTGTGAGCACATTTCCTCATCCTCAGCTGTTTCGGAGAACTCGACCGTACGACTCGAACCCGAGAAAGAAATTGTCTCCTGCGGGGTTAGAACAACTTGCTCGTCTCTTTGTTTGTTTGTTAGTTTGTTTATCTCGGAAGCGCGGTCCGCCAAGCTGTCAGATCTACGCGCGGGCACGTGCGATCCACAAACAAAGCGGCCACGTGCAAGAATCCCACGGCAGTGCTGCCAACTTCCCTTTAGATTTATTGAGACAGTTCACAGTCGCAGGCGAGCAGCGCCCAAATGGCGGAATCTAACAGAAGTTTTTTCCGTAGAATAAAAGTTTGACGGCAGTTCCATCGATTTTCAAAATATCAGAAAATTAAAATTAATCTGGGGGTTTCTTTGCTACGGCGCGGGTCACAGATGCGGGAAATTTACGTGGTAATTCGTAATTCGTTAATGGCGACACTTCTTATAGAGCAGAGGGGCTTATTTTTTTAAAAAAACGGGATTTTTTAGCCTGAAACAGAACGCCACGTGTTACAACGTCATCGGCGTCGCAGCCCCACTCAAAAATGTGTCGGAATGCACGAACTCAGCACCAACCTTCAATGTTCGGACGTTCCTAGATCGAATCGCGGTCAGTAGCGGCTGCTGTCAGCGTCTTCGCCAGATGATGTGCCCTGTACTTCTGGAGTAACTTCAGTGTTGATCCACGATACGGATTTTACACAGAAATATTTTCCATTTCCTTCGTTAAAGAAAGGCCACGTAGAAAATGTTTCAGACAAGAGGCGATAAATTTTAATTAGACGTACATTTCGTGACGTGTGCCAGATTTTTTTGTACGTTGAACTGTTTTTTGTGAAAACTCAAAAATTTATCTCCATATTCTTGTTAAAACAGGAGTTAGTGGGCTCTTGTGTAATATATTTTGCCCAGAATTAACAGCCAGACAGTCACTGCATTTCACGCGTAATTAATCGTTACAAGATTTTCGTAACGACTGCATTTAAGCCGTTCTTCCTCACAGCACAAAGAATTCTGATACCGTAAATAAAAGCCTCTGCTGTCTTGGCTGATAATTCCCCTCAGTTTTTGTGAATAAATACCGAGACAAGATCTGCACTGAGGAGTGTCAGAGGACTTTAACGTGGGTGTTACAGGAGCCGGACGGGATGCAGCGCTGTCCTTATATCCACGAGATGAAAGAGCGACTGCTCAGCAGCCAAGGTTCGAACCCGGAACAGCAGCTACTGGAAGGAATGGACAAGGACGTGCTTGAGATTCACGGCGACCCCACAGTGGGCACCGTTGTCAAGGTATTACAACTTTTATTACATAAAAGAACTCGCGATCTGTTTGTTGGCCGTCGAGGCTCCTTACAAACTCTGTTCTTGCCTGCAGCTCAACCCAGATGGTTATGGCTCCCACACTTCACCGACGCACCACTGCACCAGACAGCACCTCTCCGATGACTACGACGAGGAACCCTTCCTGCCCAAGAACGCAAAGTGAGTACGTCGCATGTGATTAATTAATTAATTAGAACGCGGGCCTTGTAATCCTGGGGGTCTCGGGTTCGAATTTATAACTTGTGTTGGGCAAGGCCGTGGTCTAGGCAACACGGAGTTTTCCTCCGTGGCATCCCAACAATTACTCCATTCACACACAGAAGAAGGCAATGGCAAACCACTGCTGGATCATCTGCCAAGAACGTATATGAACAGGGCCCAGTCCGAGAAAAAGATGGAAGGATCCTGTTCATATGGACATGTCGTCAGACAGAACACTAAATAAAAAAAAAATTACAAGTGGCGCTATTATCGGTGCCAGAATATTGCAGGAAATTTCTAAAGTGCGATTTTAGGGTCGTTCAAAATGACATAAACTTTGTACCAAATTTCATCCAAATCCATCCAACGGTTCTCGAGGTAAATCACGTGGACGGAGAGACAGACATGACAGACCTGTTGATTATACGTATATAATAGATACATGCGGTTTGAAACCACGTCAGTGAACAGGTCGAAAGGTACAATTGTGTTTGCTTTCTGAAGGAGACGGTACATTATATAAAGTCAATATTAAACACGGAAGAATTTCCGTGTTGGAGTTTTCTGTGGTGATAAGAATATGGATGTTTGTTTTAGAGGAAGGTTTCCATAGGCCTCGTGTGATTTGAGGTCTTCTGTGTTGAGGCGCCATGTAGTCTGTTTGAAGTTTACCGATCTTTCATCGCCCTGATGATGGAGGATGTAAGGACCTCTGAAACAGTGGTACATTTCCACCGGTCTTCATGACGCTAAAACAGAGAAGACAGCAGTTAATAACATTTGTAAATTAAAAACATTGGCAGGCATCGGTCCGACTTCTGACGTAATTTGTCACCTCCTGATAAAAAAAATCTATTTGATAGATGAGCTCGTAAAATTTTGAGTATGCGCATTTCCTTTGGTTAAGAGAGAATTAATTTTCGTTGTTTTAATACGAATTTGGAAACTAGTTGAACCAAAAAAGGCATCAAGAATATTAAATGATAAGGCTTTGTATTCCGGAGGTCCCTTTTTCAGTTCTCGGCTTGGAGACTTAATTTTTTCATGGTTTTCCTCAGTCCCTCCAGGCACCTTCCACATCCTTTCCAGTTCACTGTCATCCTCTCATTCGATGCTGTATATCCTGAGCTGCTTAAAATCGTCGTTAAATAAACTACAAATATTTAAAAGTGTGACAGAGAGGAATAATCTTCGTAGTTTTGCTACAATCCGAAGTGTGGGCTGCGACGTAGCGACTATAATTTGGCACTATGCGCCATGTAGGCGCTTGGGGGGAGAGGAGTATAGCTCATACTCATTCTTGACCTCGGCACTAGATGGGGGATCAGTGGTCAGCGTAATGCCTCGGCTGTGCTTCGCCCCCCCCCGGGGGGAAAGGATCCCGGTACCCATTGGATTGGAGGCTGGAGGAAAATCCTCTGCCCCTGTCGGGGATTGAAGCCAGGTCTCCAGTGCCTGTTAAAAGGAATTAAAATCTTCGGACGAGTCTCATTCAACATTCACATCCAAGAAAGTAATAATTTCGATCTTTTTTGGGTTTGTTGCTAAAACGTGCAACTTTTCTTTGGCACGTCTTAGTTTTTAGACAAGTTTAAAAAAATCACCTCTCAGCTTTGCTATGTCCGTCCGTCCGTCTGTTTGCACGCAGAAACTTCAGAGTGAATGAACGGATTTTTTCAAAATCTGATATTGTGGAGGTTTAAAGAAATTTGTTGATGCACTACGATTCAAATCCAAAAAAAAAAAAGTTTTTTATGTGAAGACTCGGCGTATTTCTGCACGCAGAGATCAATGGGTGTGGGTAATTCCCAGGCACACGACTGCATCGAAGAATGATGGGACATCCCATTTTAATTTAAATTTAGGTTTGAAATTACATGACGTGCCTTCTAACTGAAGGAACTCCAAATTCGCAGTTGCTTCGACTTCTGAACAACCTTCCATTAATTGGGACTGGTTTTCGTCACTATCACAACCGTCACTTGGAGGTCGCGCGTGTCCACCTTTTTCCATGTGGTCAGTGTCTCGCTCTTTAACACAAAGTACACAAAAACAAATTTCTGGCGGTTAACAGTGGAACAATCCAATCAGCTGGCCTGAAACTACGCCTCACTGTTGCCAACTGCGTTATTTAAAATCTAATGACATTTGGATTTACTTAATTGCTTCGAAATGATTCCTCGTTAGTTGAAACTATTTCTAAATGAATACAACTTCACAACTTATAACAATTTTGTGCAGAAGTATTTACGAATTTTAAAATTTCCAACAATCTTTGCTGCGACCGACGCTCTGTGATGACGCCATCAGCCACTCGTACAGTCGCCAGTCACCAAACAAAGGCCACTTCCCCCGAAACAACTCTGACGTCACTGGCGCGATTAGCAAAGTCAGATTGCCACAGTTATTTGTGCCCTGAAACTGCGCGCCGGAGCACCTCGGCACCGCGTGACGTGTGAGGTGTAACTTCAAAGCGACTTTCGCGTTTTACGAAACGCGATAATGCGATTACGCCGCCCGAGGCAACGCCCGAGATTCCGATAGAAACGCAGCCCCGTTGTTTAGGCTGACGAATTTTAATAGGCGTCTTCCAAGTTGTGACGCCGTGGAGGAACGTGGGGCCTCCACCTTCATTCTACCGCTAAGATGGCGAGCGCATGTCAGACCACAAACGATTGGTCGCCTGAGAACCCCGTAAATTCCGGTGAAACTCTGCGACGTCAAACTTTGGTCGAGTTCTCTGTCACGTGGCCTACGCCCGGACAGAGCAGACTTTGGTCTTCAGCTTGGAGCAAATTCCTCGGGCTGTGCAGAAGTTGAGGGCATTTCCTCGACATTCGATTGCTCGTTTCTGTTTTCACCTTTTTTCTCATAATGAAGCAATTGAAGCGAATTATTAATTAAACTGATTCAGCTACTGGTAGACGTAAACTGAATTTCATAAGACACGTAGCTGGCATTTATTCATAGAATCAATTTTATTTATTTAGTGTTCCGTCTGACGACAGGTCCATATGAACAGGATCCTTCCATCCTTTTCTCTTCTCGGACTGGGACCTGTTCATATACGTTCTTGGCAGATGATCCAGAAGTGGTTTGCCATTGCCTTCTGCTGTGGGTGAATGGAGTAATTGTTGGGATGCCACGGAGGAAAACTCCGTGTTGCCGAGACCACGGCCTTGCACAACACAAGTTATAAATTCGGGCACCGCCGGGAATCGAACACGAGACCCCAGGATTACAAGGCCAGCGTTCTAACAGCTAGACCACCGTAGAGATTTCTACTGTTAAAAGCCAGCAGTGCCAGTATCTTCAGACGAACTGGCACTTTTGATATCACAATTACGATCACCGTTCGTTCTTGGCGATTTTAATGCTAATAATATCCTGTGGGGTGTGGCCTTCAAGTGAACTCTTGAGACATTTTTGACCTCGTCCTGCATTTGAGAATTTGGTACCGTTTAAACGCTAGATGCTAAGGCCGTGAGTGTCACCGAACCTTATAACATTACATTTAGTGTTGGAGGATCGCTGGCTGAGTTACAGCGTTTTCCATAACGAAATGAGCTCTCACCTTCCACCCGCAGGCAAGAAGTTTCTTTTGCAGTGGTCAACCGAATGTGGAGAGAGATCGATACCAGATGCCTGGAGAGAAGGTACCTTCATTTCCGTCCTTAAACCAGCCAAAGACCGCTCCGTGTGGCAAGTAGTTGTCTGTGCGTGGTACCGTCGTCTCGTCTGGATCCTGGGGAGTCGAAACATTCTCTCCAATGCTTCGTCTGGATTTCGACGCCATAGATCCAGTACCTAGTGTCTATCTTATTCTACCTGGAGGCGGCATATGACGTAACCACGTAACCTGGTGGTGTGGTATTCTCAGAACCCTTCACCGCTGGGACTCTTAGGATGACTGCCAGTGTTTCTACCCTAATGTTCCCCCCAGAGCCGTTTTTTCGCGTCCGACTTGGGAATGTGTTATCTGCGCGATGTCCCAAAGAATAATGAGTTCCACAGGGATCAGTTTTAAGTGGGAACCTTTTTTTTGCAATCGCCGTCAACTGAATGGTAAAAGCACTAAGGCCATCTATAACTACGTGGTCGTATGTAGACGATATTGCTATTTATTACAGTTCCCGGAGCATCGCCTGCTACAGGGGGGCTATAAACCGTCTGTCACGATGGACGCTGGAGAATGGATTTTAATTTTCCGCGGACAAAATCCACTGTGTAAATTTCACACTCTTGAGGGCTTAACATCATCACCCCCTCCCTGTTTCTGAGTTATTTCGCTCTTATATTTGTTCCGACGGTCCTTGCCGAGATCCTGATGCCAGTGTCCCACCTCCAGTTGGTGTTTTTGTTGGGTACCAGGACACTCCGGCCTACCTGGCAACGAGCTCGCCGCTGCGGCATCCTTGCTGTGATGTTTGCACCTTCCTTCATTCTGTCCTCGTATTCTCATTTTTCAAAGACATTGTGCTGGACCCCTTTACAGCCTGGCAAATTTAAGTCATAGTGGAACGCCATTATATTCTAGGAGCATCGGAACTCCACGGGCAGGCCTCTACACAGCCTTCTACATGGTTCTTGCTGCCATTTCCTGATGGTTGGCTACCTTTTTAATCGTGTCTGTTGTTCGCCTTGTGCGCATGCGCATACAAGTCGGTCATAGAAGGTGACGCGTCCCTAAACACACCCACACGCTGATACCCACCATGTAATGGCCTTATACTAGTTTCTGTTGGCAGTATTGACTATTTTCATTAATTAACCCTTTGAAGCCGAAGATCGTCTGAATATGATTTATGAATTCAGTCCGTACCGCGAAGAAAACACTACACCACACCATTACGAAAATCAGCTGGTTAACCCTTTGAAGCCGAAGCTCGTCTTCATAATATTTACGAATCCAGACCGTACCGCGAAGAAAACACTTCACTTAACCATTAGAAGTCGAA